TTGATGGGCTGAGCTGGGCTGCTTTGGATGGGAGTTCTGAAATGGGTGGCAACCCAAATGGGAGGAAGAGCCTCTGGAACAATGGAGAACGGGGAAGGCCCTGCCAGCAGGCGGCCTGTGTCAGCGAGGCTGTGGCAGGGACCAAGAAAGGGACCAGTTAAGACAAAGCTGTCTTTGCCCAAGTGCGCTGGGCCGTTTGGCCGTGTGGCCGTGACCGACGTGACCGCTGGGTCGTTCCTGCTGGGGAACAGCGGCGCTGGTCGTCCGGGTTTGTGGTTGGGGAATAAAGGACCTGCTGCTGCTTTGGGTTTCCCACACGCCTTGCCTTGGTCCGAGCCACCAGACTTCACTGGGCTCCGATATGCACTCCTGGGATTTTTGTGCAGAAGTCACCCCATTGCTCCTCCTTTCAGCTTGAGGACCCGAGGCCATAACTGCTGACACAGAATGCTGGGAGCCGCTGTGGCCCTGCTCCTAGGACACCGACACAGTCACACCAACCCGGGGCTGGGGCGTCGGAGGGCTGGGCGGGAGCTGTGCAGACAAGTGGGACCTCTCGCGTGGCAGCAAGTGCCCAGAGGTGGCAACCACGGAGGGATCCTGTCCTTGGCCCACACCGTGGGAGGGCAGATGGCAGGATGACCCACTTTCAAAGCGGCGTGGCTGTGATGGGGCTGCTTCAAGTGGCCGACCTGCACATACATGTTGGTCTTAAACTCTTCAAAACTGGGCGGTTAAACATCTGAATCCTGTTTTCATTGGCTTGTAAGCCATGGTGATGGGGACCTACCTAGTCTTCTGAGCCAGCAAGTGTGCCCAGAGGCTAATAAACAGCAGGTGCCTCCAATAAATATGATTTTAATGCTCAATGTAAATGTGTGCAAATAGATATGTAAAATGAAATGTGGGAGCTGAACCTATATGCAGGTTACACAGTTTCTCAGCTGTTTTGAACTGTGAACTGTAGTGACTGTGTTTTACATGTGCCCAGTGTATAGTGGTGGGGAGTGTGTTTTTTTAGACAGTGTATATGTGTGTGGTAATGAGTGTTTGTGTGGTGTGTGTATGTGCGTTTGTATTGTGGTGTGTGTGTGTGTGTGTGTGTGTGTGTGTGAAGGGAAGTCCCCATTAGGTTGGTTGGAGACAACACCAGCCACATAATTTACAGTGTCTGGTGCAAAACAAAAGTGTGGGCCCCTTATTCAAAATTATTGGGAATTTTACCCCAGCCGGTTTGGCTTAATGGATAGAGCAATTGGCCTGTAGACTGCAGGGTCCCGGGTTTGATTGTGGTCAAGGGCACATGCCTCGGTTGCAGGCTCAATCCCCGGCCTTGGTTCAGACACCTGTGGGAAGCAACCAATTGGTGTGTTTCTCTCACATCGATGTTTCTTTCTCTCTGTGTCTCTCCCTCACTTCCACTCTCTCTAAAAATCAATGGGAAAATATCCTCTGGTGAGGATTAACAAAAAAATAAAATAAATAAAAATAAATTATTGGGAATTTCAAGATAGCAACAGCAGAGCAGCAGACCAAGCTTAGACCTTTCTGAGTGAGAGCCTGTGTGACTTCACAGGTCAAACGGAGACTGTGCACTCTGGTCTCCTTTGCTGTCTTGAGTCCTTGAATCCCCCTTCCCTCTCCCCCATCCCCCTCATGAGCCTGGAGAGGAGCAGCAGCGCCTGTGCCCTGTGGGGCTTGCTGCACCTTTCCCGACCCTCCCGCTGTTCCAGTCTGGGCCTCACCGGGCCACCCAAATCCATAAGGTCTCTCAGCTCTTTGCTAGAAAAGATGTCCTGAGAATGTCCAGGTGCCCTCCCAGCCCACCCTGCATCACTGGGCCCTGCCTCCACCCTCAGGACTTGAAGGCTCAGGCTCCTGCCAGCACCATGCCCTCTGTGCTCTCAGAAATCGTCAGGCAGCAGAAACAGCACAGAGAAGGCGGCCCATGGTTTCCAGTTGCGTCCTCATTGCCCACCAAGTGCTTCAATTCTCAGGGGCCCTAATGGGCCCTGTCCTGGGTGGGATGGGGTGGGGGTGGGGGGAGAAGCGGCAAAGGGGTGCTGGGAAGCTGGGGCCACATGGTGCAGGCAGAGTTCGCAGCCTTGAGATGTCAGTGAGGGTGTGGAGGTGGGGACTCCCTCAGTCCTTCCTGTTTACTGTCCTGATTTGCCTCCTCTCGGGTTAAGTGCCCGGTGCCTGCTTCAGAACATGCTCAGGAAATGCTAATGGGTAATAATGAGGGTGTTCCCGCCCCAATACCTATACTTGTCAATAATTAGCCACGATTTCTGAGGTTCTGGGAGGAGACACCTGGTTTGCCCCAGCTGGTTTAGCTCATCAGTGTAGCAATAGCATGGCAATTTTGAGGTCCCTGAGTGGTTTTGGGGTGTTGCACTGGCGGGCATCTCCCAAAGGACTTGAGAACTTACTTCACCCTGTTTCTGACCCTAGCCAGAGACTAGTCCCTAAACTCAGCCCATCCAGGCTCTCCTGGTAACCACCAGTTCCATGTGCTTCTGTCTTAGGGATCCCAGATGGGACTGTGTGAACAGCCAGCCTGGGGAGCTCCCTGCGGAAGGCCCCTGCCTCAAGCCAAGGGACCCAAAAGTGTAAAGTTTGTGAGTAACATGGGGCAAGCTAGGCTAGAGAGGGGATTTCAATAAGTGGCCAGGCATGAGAGGAGATTACTATAAACTTGTCAGGCACTGGCCATGGGGCTTTGTCTGCCAGGGAGAGTGGGAGGCAGGGCGGGGGGAGAGAGGGAAAACAAGTTCTTCCTCATGCAGGGGTGTGATGATAAATTGGATTCCCAGAGGGGGGGAAAGTCTTACTCTAGAATTTGCCAATTTCTGTGGTGTAAATACTTCCACAAAGCTACCAGTTGGTTTAACAACTGGCTTATGAAATTCTTGACTCCACAATCAGCTCTTGCTTACTGCTCATTAGATCTTTGTCCCCATCAGAGGCCATCAACAGCACAAGCCCCCAGGCCCTAGCTGCACACCTCCCTGAGCCCAGCACGCTCACTTCCCAGATTTTATTTACAGAATGCCCTTCTCCATGCACTGGGCATCTTGGGTCCTGAAGCGAGCCATCCAGATATTCAAGCTCCCTGTGCTTCAGACCCTAGAGGAGGGTGGGCTGGTCTCCTCACAGATTGTTATGAAGTTCAATGAGGCGATGGATAGGAAATGACTTTGCCAAACCCAGTCAAGTGAAGTGCCATGACCCAAGTTCCATGGCTGCCTCCTTCTAGTCCAGAGCACCGGGGAGGTCTGACTTCAGTGTGGTGTGAAGAGCCACAGTTGGGGCATCTAGCAGCTCTAATTCGCCCGCTGATTAGCCACCTGCCTCTCACCCCATTCTCACTGCCAAGGGACCAGGTGTGTGTGTGGGTGACAAATACCAGGGAGCCAGGAGGCCACTAGGTCAGGTCCCTGGGCCACAGAACAACGCCCATTCCAGGGGCTGGGCGTCTGTCCACAGAAGTCCGCCTGCAGAAGGGGCTTCCTGGTCCTGCGGGTGGCCTGGGCATTTCTCTGGGTGCGGGATTATTTATTATGCAATCTCTCAGAGACCCACCTGCCCTTGACACCTTCCAGTGACTTCATTCCCCCTCCCCTGGGCTCCTGGAATGGCCCCACCTTAGCTTGGCAGCTGTGATGAGAGGTGTTGACCCAGCTGCCTATCTGCTGGCTCACTGTGTCAGGTGGAAGGGGTGAAGACAGTGACAGGGATGAGGGTCTTTCCGCACCGTCAGGAACCTGGACTGTCTCCAGGCAGGATTGGGGCCAGGAGTACCCATAGTACCTGGGATTCAGCCAGGTACTATGATGGTGGTGAATGGTACAGGAAGCCAGTGAGGAATAGGCCACGGGCCAGGAAAACAGCCCAGGGCCACAGGTATGCCACTGGTTCTTGCTCCTCTCCTGTCCTAGTCTCTCCTGTTTGGTGAGAGCACTCGGCCAGGCCTGGAGCCCAGCAGAGAGCACCTGCTGACCTCAGAATAAGTTTCTGTGGGGGCTGGAGACAGTCACACCTGCCTGATATGTGTGAGCCTCACACCCCGGTTCATCGAAGGAGACAGTCTGGTGAATAAACCAGCACAACACACTGCAACACACTCGACTGGGAGTGGGCACCCGTGCAAGGGACAGGGTAGAAGGCTCCATGGAGGAGGTGTCATTTGAAGGGGTCACAAGAGTGCCCCCCCCAACAGCCCCAATCTCCCTGCACAGGCCCAAGTCAGGCTGCAGCCCTGGGGCCCACAGATTCACCTTCTGGGCATCCATGGGGTGACCCTGCACCCCCCCCCCACCTCCCAGCAGGAGGTTATACAGCTCAACCTCCTCCAGCCAAAGCTTCACCAACATGGCAGACTTCCCCCTTCTGGGAACAGATGGGAGTAAAATTCCCTGGTTGCTCTTTTTATAAATGATCAGGTGGGGGGCGGGGGGAAGGGGCTCTTGGGAGGTTCCGGGAAGGTGAGAGGGGCCATCGGGAGGAGACGACACACGTGGCACGCCCAGAGCTGGAGCTGGAGCTGGATCCCGCTTTGGCTTCCGGTGGCTTCACTCCCAGAGTTCAAGGTCTGCACCAGCCCACTTCAGGGACTTAGTGAGGGCACAGGGCTAAGGCCAGCCTGGAAGAGTTCTGACTCTGAATTGGATGTGATCAACGAGGGAAAATTACTGTAGCAATCGAGTTCATGGAAAATGCTGTGTGTGTCCCATCATTTAAAAACTATGTCTGTGCATTCTTGATTCTGGGACCCTCTTCTCTCTCCCTCTCTGGGGAATCTTATGGGATTCCACACTTGGTTCAGAAGGTATAAGAAAACACCTACCCCATGCGCACACATAGTAGAAGTGCAGTTAATGTAAGGTCCCTTCCTTTAACCACTCACAGTGGTCACTTGGGGCTGAGGGCAAAGGGTTCCCCCATTCTAAAGGTTGATGGGCCTCTGATCCCTGCCTCCCCCTTCCTTCTCCAGCTGATGACAAACACCTGGATGTCATAACGTCTTCTGTGTCCTCATGTGTTATTCTGGGGCACAGTCTGGGGAGGGTACCTGAGTGGCCCCCCTCTGACTGAGGCTGGCAACGTGGGCTGGCCTGTGCCAGTCTCATGGATGGATGCAGAAGGGCGAGGCACTGATCCTGCTCGTTGGGCAGGATGCTGGCAGAAGGGCAGGACAAGCAGGGGCGGAGCTTCTAGAACAAAGAAGAAGGGGAGCCCTGGGGGCCAGGCTAGGCATCAAAAAGGCTCTGCAGAGTGAGCATGCCACAGTAGCCACCTCTGCACCCAGCAGTTCGTCAGACAACCCTCACCTGGTGCCTTCTGCCTGCCCCAGGCCGGGCACCTCAGCAACACTAAAGAGGACTTGTTCTCCAGCGTGATTGCGCCGGCACTGCTCTGTGGCTTTCTCTACTTGGCGTGGGTTGCTGCTGCCGTTCCAGTCAAGAGCAGAGGGATGGCCGGTAGCGGAGCCAGGAGCCAGGGAGGCCGTCGGGAGCATGCCTTCATCCCGGAGCCTTTCAATGGAGCCAATATAGCCCCCCACCTCTGGCTGCACCGCTTTGAGGTCATCAACGACCTCAACCATTGGGACCATGCCACCCAGCTAAGGTTCCTGAAAGAGTCCCTCAGGGGAGATGCCCTGAAGGCCTACGATGGACTCAGTCCCGAGGACCAGGGGGACTACGAGGCTGTGAAAGACGCCCTGCTGAAGACCTTCGGGGGGCCCACAGCCGCCCGCAGCCACCTGCCCAAGGAGATCGTCTTTGCCAACAGCATGGGTAAGGGCTACTACCTCAAGGGGAAAATTGGCAAAGTGCCCGTGAGGTTCCTGGTGGACTCCGGGGCCCAGGTCTCCGTGGTCCACCCGAACTTGTGGGAGGAGGTCACGGATGGGGACTTGGACACCCTTCGGCCCTTTGAGAATGTGGTCAAAGTGGCCAATGGGGCAGAAATGAAGATCCTGGGCATCTGGGATACGGTGGTGTCGCTGGGCAAACTGAAGCTCAAGGCAGAGTTCCTGGTGGCCAACGCCAGTGCTGAAGAAGCCATCATCGGCACCGATGTGCTCCAGGACCACAACGCCGTCCTGGACTTCGAGCATCGCACGTGCACCCTGAAAGGGAAGAAGTTCCGCCTCCTGCCTGTTGGAGGGTCCCTGGAAGATGAGTTTGACCTGGAGCTCATAGAGGAGGACCCCTCAGAGGAGGGGCAGCAGCCCTCCTGCTGAAAAGCCCCCATTTCCTTACCCCCCGAATACTGGTGGAAGACCCCCCACAGCGGAGCGGAAGGGCAGGTCCTCAGGGGATCCCTGGGCTTGGCCAACCCTCTAAAACCAACTCTTTCCCTCCTCTACTCATCCCCTCCTCCCTCTGCAGGGACCTAATCTGCCCTGGTGGGGGAGGCTTCCCTGGGAACCGCACGGGTGTGGGAGAGCAGGCGGGCTTTCTTAGAGGGAGAGCGGGTCCTCACGGTTGCCAAGCTGCTATTGGTGGCAAAGACTCAAAGGCTGGAAGAAGGTTCCATGAAGGCTAGAAGTGATTGTCTTTGAGAGAGGACTAGAGGACCTCTTAGACCCCTGAGACATGGCTGCTTCTCCCCAGGTCTGTGCAGCCTGAATCCGCTGGGCTGGCTGCAGGGTCCTCACAGCTCCTCGGGGACTCCTCCCTGTCGGGCCTTCCCACCTGTGTGATGTATATTTCCTTCTGTCATTTACTTTGAAACCCATGGAGTCCTGTGCCAATAACTCATTACTTCCAAACCCAATAAAGATTGACTCATGGCAAAACCACATCATGTGTTGATTGGGGACGAATGGGATGGATGTGAGAGGGTGAGGAAAACAGGGTGTAAACGTCAAAGAGAAGGAAGATTCCAGTATTTACTGAGTGCCTACCCTGGATATAGGAGAATACATAGACGGTGACTGTGTATCTTGGATTTTATGACAGCCTCAATTTCAAATATTTTGACTTATTTTCTCCATAATTCCTACCATCATTTCTAATGGAGTCATAATTCCTCTAATCATTTCAAACTATAATATTGTAGCATCAGAATTGCCCCTTATACCCTAAAGTTATTTGTGAGGTGTGTTGGTCGGGGATTGGAACATTACAGTGCGTGTTAACAGATGGGAAAGGATCTGCCTGGCAAGTAGGTTCCTATAGCCGCCCGGGAGCCAGGATTGGGGCCGAACACAAGGCCAGGGACAAGTGCTGGCCTGCATGGGCCACCCAGGGGAGTTCTGGGAGACGGGGATGTGGCGACGCCAGGGTGGCCCGGGTGGTGGGAGGACAGCTTCTTGCTGGAAGGACTTGGAATGAGCCTCAAACTGGAGAGGCAGGATGGAGTGGGGGGAGGGGTTCCCAGATCTGGGAATGGGGTGTCCATCTCTTTTAGGGTCTACCTCATAATTTGCTTCCAAATGCCTGCCCGCCTCTCTGGAATGAGCAGGGCCAAGAATCTGAAAATCCCAACCAAAAGGGGACTGCGGTACAAAGCTTTGAGAGCTTTCAATGGGAGGTGGGAAGGGCCTCGTCCCCTCCCTCCTGATTGTTCGATAAGCCTGTCCTGAGGTTTCCCCTGGGACACCCCGAGACAAGCAGCCTGCCCGGAGGGTGAGTATGACTTGCCCCTGGACTTCTGGAAGCTAGTCTGAGCTGAGAGCCGCTGCTCCCCCTCGAATTCCAGCTGATTATCTGTAAACCGAGGCACCTGCTCAGCCCCTGGGCAGCCAAACATCGTCAGGGGAATTAGCTCGTCAGCCCCAAGGAACTTTGGGTGATGGGCGGGTCTGCTTCAGGGGGAAGTCTTCTCCCAGGAAAGCGAGGCCTGGAGGAGGGTGGGCCCAGCGAGGAGCCGTGAAGTGGAGACAGAACCAGAGAAGGAGGTAGGAGAACGGGGAAGGAGGCCCTCTCCTGTCCCCCACCTCCCAGGTCTCCCTTCTTAGGTTTGGTTTTAACTTCTAACAGAAGCTGCTTGTCTACTAGGCCAACCCCTCCCCTGAGGGGACAGCCCAGGTGGCACCTCCCTGTAACCTATTTCCTCTAGGTCCTTCAGCTCCTAGCCACAGGCTGGGCTGAGGCGGGGAGGTTGTGGAGTGGCGGGTGGGGAAGCGGGCAGGGGTGCGGGCACAGGGAATGGGTGCCAGGCCAGAATTCCAGGCAGCACCTCGTGTCAGCCTTCTCCCTGCCCTTCCCTGTGCACAGCCGGCTGGTGGACCTGTGTCCCAGCTGCAGGGACCTCTCCTCCCTGCTCTGAGCCACCGGTTCTCCTGGGGGAGCATGAGGGCCCAGCTGGGGCCCGCGTGCGGAGGGGGCCCCATGGAGGAAGGAACGAGGTGGTGGTTCTTACTAGAGCGCCGTTTGTCTCACCCCGAGTGAGACTTAAGATGGGTACAGTGCGTGTGTGCGGGGGTTACCAGTGCCACCCACCCCCCAATGTGTGAAGGTGAAACCTGGGCTGTGGGTGCTGAATGCCGCTCTCCTAGGAGCAGAGTATCAGGGGGAGCCCTGGAGAGCAGCCAGGGAGTGGGTCGGCCACGTCGCCGAGGGCTGATGCCTGGACGAGGAGTTGGGGCTGGCTTTGCAAGGAGTGTTTGAATGGTGGAGGACAAGAAAGATCTGGCTTCTAGGTGTAGGTTGGAGTAAAAGAGCAGCAAAGAATCTAGCTTGAAAGCCGTGGCAGTATTCAGACTTAGGGCCTGCGCTTGAGATGATGGAAAGGAGGAGACAGGCAGGCGTCAGTGTGAAGCTCTAACCTTGGCTGCATTGGAATCGCCTGGGAAGAGCAATTAAAGCTGGTTCAACAGATGGGCCCAATGCGCCCGGCCTAAAGCTCAGGTGTATCCACCTCCTTTGGTCCTGGGACCAGCAGGAAGGTGCCTGAGCACCAGCTGGGAGCTGGTTAGAAATGCAGCATCTCATCCTCGCCCAGGCCGGCACCTGCCTCGGACCAGATCTCCAGGTGACTCGCATGCACACGAAAGCCCTGGCCTAGAACATTCTGATCCCACTAGGGAAGGGGCAACTCACGGCCCCACAAGACCCCTCTTTTCTAACAGTGACCACCACAAAACTAAGTGCCTCCCAATTCTCAACGGTGCTAGGTAATTTCTCGTGCTTTCATCCAGCAAACATTTATTTTTAAGCTTGTGTTTATATGCAGGCTTACAGAAAATTTGCAGAGTAGTACAAAGAATTTCCATATATGTTTAACCTAATTTCCCCCAATATTAACATTTTACCAATTAACATTATCATTCAATCTCTCTCTATCTATATGTATATGAACTGTTTGAAAATTGCAAATATGATACACATTTACTCCTCAACACGTTAGTGTTTATTTCCTATAGAAGGAAGGAATCCTCTTATGTAACCACAATAGAATGATCAAAATCAGGACATTGACATTGGTATAATCCTGTTATCATCTGCAGAGCGTATCACATTTCCCCAATTATCCCATTAATGATCTTTATAGCAAAAGGAACCAATTGTTTTCTGGTCCAGGATCCAATCCAGCCACACAATGCATTTTAGTCATCACATCGCTTTAGTCTCCTTTAATCTGAACAGATCCTCAATCTGTCTTGTCTTTCATGACCTTGACATTTGTGAAGAGACCTGGTCACTTACTATGTAGAATATGAACCTTCATTTTCTCATGATCAGATTCAGGCTGTACATTTTTGGCAGGAAAACCCAGAAGCGCATCATGTCAGGAGGCACGGGATTTGATAACGGAATAAATGCTTATTCATTTCATTACTGGTGATTCAACTTTAATCAGTTGGTCAAAGTGGTGTCTGTCAGGTTCCTCCATTGTAACGTAACTTTCCTGTGTAGCTACTGAGTGTCTTCTGGGTTGGTACTCTGAGAAATGTATGTTATAGGTAAAATATATAAATAGCCTGTTTCTCGTCGGACTGTCCCCCACCGGGCCCACTGCTGGGCCTTGCCTGCCATGTGACCTTTCAGTTCTGCCCCTCTCCATTTGCTAGCTGGCCCTCAACTCTAAAGAAAAGCTTTCCCTTCTGTCTACTTCTTTACTCTCTGTGTGTACCATTGTGGACTCACAGGCTTATTTTATTCCATCAGTTGTACTCTGTTACTGTCGTTGTTTATTTTGATGCTCAAATGTCTTCAGATTTGACCTCAGGAGCCTTTTCACACTGGCTCCTGACTTCTTGGGACGAGTCCCCATCATCATCTGAGCCCTTCCTTATTTTCTGTCACAAGATGTTCCAGGTTCATCCTGTACCTTCCTTGCACCAGCCCTGGAATCAGCTGTTTCTCTGAAGAGCCCTGGTTCTTTTTTTTTTTAAATTGATTTCAGAGAGGAAAGGAGAGGGAGAGAGAGATAGAAACATCAATGATGAGAGAGAGTCATTGATCGGCTGCCTCCTGCACGCCCCACATTGAGGATCAAGCCTGCAACTGGATCATGTGGCCTTGACTGGAATCGAACCTGGGACCACAGGCCGATGCTCTATTCACTGAGCCAAACCGGCTAGGGTGAGCCCTGGTTCTTTTTGGTAGAGCCTGGTATGCAGAAAACAGGGTCTGGGTGTTAGGTGTGCTCATTGCTACTGAGTGTCATGACCTCTTAAGTCTCTCAGTGGTCAGAGCTGAGATAAAAATGCTCTATAATGTAATTATAAATGTACATTATAAATGTAATATTTTTTGGAGATGAGTACATCTGTATATGCTTCTATTATCTGTCATTCTCTATATTAAAAATCTGAGCTCATACTGACACCTCCAATTCTAGCCCAGCACCATAGGGTCTCTCTTAACCTTCCCCCTTTCCTTGTTTGTAACTTCTTTTCCCAACAATGAGAAACCTGGCTCCTGAAAGTAGTTTCAGAATACTAACCCATATATCTGTGAAAAACACACCTAGAAGCAACCAGTTGTTAAACACCTCCTCAGTGCCAGATGTGGGTGGTCCTTGGCAGCAAATAAGACAAATTATGCCATCAGACTGCGGTCACCTTAAGAAATGCTGAGGCTCACAGCTGTGCATGGCTTTAGGTGCCAGTCTAAAGGGACAACTTTATCTTGAGGACGCAATGTGCCCATCAGGAGGCCAGCTGGAGTCAGAGACCAAAGGCCACAAGTCGTCCCGTGGCGATGCCGAGGGAGTGGCCCGTCTCCATGCCCCAGAGAGGTGACCTGGCCTGCCCACCTGGTCCTCAGCCACCGAGGCAGCTGCCAGCTGACGCCACCGCACATTCCAGTCCTATCAGTCACCGGCCTCTCCAGAGTCCCCTGTTGCCAAGCAACCCAGGGTAATAAATGTGGCTTCCCTGGCTGGGCTGCAAGGAGGGCAAACTCTGGTCAGGCCACTCTGAGCATCGACTCCACCCAGCTGGTCTGTGCCTCACTGTGGGTTCGTGCATTCGTTCTCAAGTTCTGACTGCTCAGATACGGCAGGCAGGCCTTCCCCAGGCCTGGACGGGCCACTTCTCCAAGGCACGTGGGGCCAACCTCGTCCTGCTCTGCCTCTCTGGGTTCCCGTTAGAGCCTCTTGGTGCCTGGGAAGTGCGTGAGGTGGGCCCTGGCCTCTAGGGATTTGTCCCCTCCCATCTGTGCAGGACTCAGGGACAGGCACATGTGGGGTTGGAAGGCTCCACAGAGGAGATCTTTAAGCTGAGTCTTGAAAGACAAGTGGATATTTCCCAAGAAGAGGTGGGAGAGAGGGAGGAAAGTTAGGAAAGGGAGCAAGGAAGAGCGGGGCCGGTGCAGGTGCAGGTGCAGGCTAACGGGGGCCTGGGGAGGG